CATGTATAATAAGTGTATTTAAATATATTATATATATAATAAATACTGTCCATACAGAATAGAAGACTTATTGAGACTTACAATAACAGGAAGAGCTGCATGATAAAGACAAATTTCTCTGAGATGCTGCAAATCGCTGCAGTTGCAGCGCTCCACCTGCACCGGCAGTTTGTACACGGGAACCTTCTTCCGCGGTGTATCTGCAGGTAAGAGGCAAAAGTGAATTCAAATATATTTAAAAATAGAAGACGTATGTATGCCCCCAATTCTAAACCCTGCTCCTGCTGCTCTTGCTGCTGCAGCTGCTGCTGCTGTCGCTGCTTCTGCTCCTGCTGCTGCTGCTGCTGCTGCTGTTGCTGCAACTTACACTCGATCTGAGGGGGTTCTTCTTTAACATATGGAGAGGCCAACGGAACGCGTGGGACGAACAAATCGTCGGGAATGTCATAGAGGGGATCTGGAGAAGAGGTGAAAAAGTATTAAATTGACCGGCTAGGGTTTAGGGCTTAAGGTTTAGGGTTTATGGTTTAGGGTTTTGCGTGCAAGCCACATTCCCAGACAGTGTATCATGGCTGGAGACAGGGCAGGTGGATTAACACAGAAGGAAAAGGCAGAGGAGCAACAAATAAACAAATTCAATTGATGGAGCTGAGGTGTACATACACCCGAAAGACGAACCGAATTTGGGGCATTCGCGCGGGAATGGATGGTCTTCAGAAAATGAAGTGTACTGACACCGAGACAAATAAAGCAGAAAATAAAAGTTGAATGATTAAAGAGTCTAGAATAAAAAGAAAATGTATTACCAAAGGAGGGATCCTCTTGTGGTTTAAAAACATCGCAAAGGAGCAGAAAGGAGGAACCTGAAGGCAAAAATCGGTGTATGTACACCCGACAAAATAGATAGATGCAGCGAAATATTCTTATTCTTTCTTCTAATATAATAGCCAACTGCATGCATGCATGTGTATGAATGCATGTATAGATGCATGCATATATGTATGTATCTATGCGTGCATGCATACATACATACACATGTTTAGGCTTACACACAAAAGCAACATGCATTCAAATTATAAAGAACTACAGAAGCCCCTTTTCATTTATTTACAACTGCAAGATGAATACAGCTTACGGATATATCACTGCAGGGCCCCATGATGTCTGAATTGGAGGAAAAGCGAGAAAATAACGAAAATGAATAAGCAAAAGACAATTAAACAAACAAAATGAAGAAACGAAGACGCCTACCGTCGAGCCAGAAGCCAGGGCATGCAACGAGCGTTGCAATGCAGTGGGGAAAACAGAGGGGCTGCGCCATCGCCTCTCTCAGGCCTAGGGTTTAGGGTTTAGGGTTTAGGGTTTAGGCATAAGGGCGCTGAAGATCAGGGTTATTCAAGACCAGAAAAACCTACCAAATGGCATCCAACAATGGGGGAAGATGCTGGCGCTGATGAACAAGGGTTTACAGATTTAGGGTTTAGGGTTTAGGGTTTAGGGTTTTGCCTTACCAGTACATGCCAAGGTAAGCCGTTGCGCTGCGTTAAGTGAAATATATAAATGCAAAAAGAGGAAAAAGCAGCTTAGAATTTTTAAATTTGTTCTTGCTGGAGTTCCTTTACCTTCTCTTATTTTTATTTGTATTATTTCGTCTATATATATTATATATAATATGCACAATATATTATATATTGTATGTATTATATTGTTTATTTTTTTTGTTTGAACGGGCTTTCATTTAGTAGTGGCTCACCATATTCTGTATTGCGTTTCGGTGGTCTTCCCGACTTTGTTTTGGTATTTGGAGGGGAAGCTGCAGCAAACGACAAATAAATAAAATAATATAGATAAGAGAAATTCAACCATTGGTGAGCAAAAGAAATAAATTTAAAAGGAAGACCAACAACAACTAAATACGTAAGCGGTTAACTATTAAGGAGAGAGAGATAAGACTGCGTGCAATTATTCAAGAGTAGGGATTGATTGATCTGCATCATTTGCTTATATGTCTGTTATATATATATATATATATGCATATATATATATGTATATATATAGGTAGATAGATAGATAGAAAAACTGTAACGATATACACAGCACCACACCGACTGCAAACACACAAGAACATCGCCACCAGTAAGCCAATGATTTAAATGCAGAAAACAACAAAAAAAAATAAAAACAAACGACAGTTCAACTCATAGACACACGGGGACCTCAAGGTATATGTTTTGGTGCAAAAGCAAGGGAAAGGAGAGATGAATTGCTATTATTACTTAATGAAGCTCAAACAAAAACAAACAAATAAACCTCACCTTCCTATAACGCCTTCCATTACTGAGTCAGTGACGTCTGCAGTGGTGAAGTCCGCTATGGTGATGGGGTAGAGAACAGACCCGAAGCAGTTTCTGCCTGAAATATCGCGAACAATGCTTATTCTTTTCTCATTTATAGTCAATATAATTGTTTAAATAATAAATATTCATAATTTTATTATTCTTTCCTGCTTTTCATGCTTCTTTTCAACAGCACAGCAGCCAAGAGCATCTTCCTCACCAGTCAGCATCGGCAAACAAGGCAGCGGCCTGCAAAGAAAACCAATGGAAAAGGAAACTCAGGTTTAGGGTTCAGAGCTTGGGCTTTAGGGTTTAGGGTTTAGGGTTTAGGGTTTAGGGTTTACTGGTTTATCCAGACAGGAGGCGGTATTAAGGGAGGAACGATGTCTATGACGGTCCCGGCAACGGATTGCACTAAGCCTTTGACCATCATCAGCGACATCATGGCGGCCATTTGCAGCCCTGGAGCTGAAATGAGGGGAAAATACACAAAAGTATTTAAATAATATTTAATAACAAAACAATTTAATTAACATTAGGGTTAAACAATAACAATTAAATAAAAACGGAGGCAAACACCACTCACCTTGGGTTCCTGCAGCAGACTGGATCTTCGCCACCAACTGCGTCAACCTGAATAAATAAGTAAAGTGGATAAACTGCAGCGGAATAAACATATTTTAGTATAATTTCAAATAAATGACATTCAAATTAAATATAAAACATTAAATTTAACTAATTTCAATCAAATTTGTTGGTTTTTCCCCCCTTCTGATGATAAGAAATATCTGCGTGCCCGGTCCCGTTGCCGCTGGTTTGTTGTTGCATCGATGTCTTTTTGCAACATGCAACATTTTGAGTAATTAGTAAGCAAATAATGAAACAGAAGAAATTAATTTTTGGGTTTTTATTCACGTTTTTCTCTTTTTCTAGTTTTCCTCCCAATTTTGGGTAATATCTCTTGCAGTTGCTGTTCATTTGTGTTTCCTTAGCGCTCTGGCTGGTTTCATGCATACAAGCTAACGTTTTTCTATGTGCATTTCTTCCTCTACCTTTGCTGAAATATCCGTCAAACCTTATTAATTAATTAATTAGTTAATGCACTAACTAAATATTTCTCTCTTTTACTCACCACTTTGTCAGATCGAACCCGAACAAACTCCTGAAAGGGCCTCCAGGGAAAGGCGTTTTCGATGGTGCAGGCGGGGCTCCTCCTGCTTTCTCTCCTGGGTTGCACTGAGGGGTTTTAAGTCAGGATTATAAAATTATTTTTCAAAGTTTTTGGTTTAAATTAACTATTAACTTGAATATTTAAACTTAAATTGAATATTTGAACGGAAGCTTCAGGGACCTACGTGCGGGTTTTCGTTGTCGATTCGAGCGAGAGTTTGCACGAAACGAAGCGACGTATTTTTGTCCATGACTGAAGAAGTTTCTTCGCTCATTTCACGTTTTTTGAATGAATTAACGAATTTAAATAACTTAATTAATCAATTAATTAGATAGTTTCGAAACGACTCGCCTGTGTCCATAAGCCATTTGTATCCTTTCACGTCGAATTCCTTCATCGCTGATTCATAGAGTTGCATGAAAACACTTCTTTGGTGATCAGACCCGTCCGTTAGCCGCTCAGCCATCTCCTCAGGGCTCGGCATCAACTTGAACTTTCGGTTTTCCGCATCATAAATCAAATCCGACGGGATTTCCGGCATTTTAATCGGCAATAATTCGCCATTTGCGGTACCATTGAGCCCAAAAACCAAAAATATGCACAAAGAACTACTGACGAACACAGCGCAATGCATGCTGAGCAACACGAGGGAAACAGAGGGAGGAAAGCTTCAAATAAATGCGTCTTTCGAGCGATCTCCTTGACAAACGGAGAATATTCGCTCATTATTTCAAAATGAGACATTTATTTATTCCATTCGCAGTTTATTTATTCCCTAAAACTTGCAATGCACACTCTAAGCCAAGCGGCGGAGCTGCACATACACCCGAACCGCCCAAGTTCGTCTAGGCGCTCTGTGCCGCTCGAAATATAAAAAGGTGATGTGATTTGTTTTATTTCACCTTAATAGTCTGTGAATAATCGGAAAATGTATTCTCTGCACTAAACATGCAGTTAAAACAACCATAGCAACTGCAGCCCCAACCCAAGTTGCTGGGTTGATCGTGAAGACGCGGGTAATATCGCCTTCTGTATTGTTCTCATTTTTCTGCTTTCACCAAATGTATATTTATAAATATGCAAATATATGCATGAACTCCCTCAATATATAATGCAGACCTGTGCATATATATATATATATCCTATATTGCGTGTCCGTGTCCTTCCGCGCATCGCTAAACCCTAAGCCATGAGTTCGGAAGAGCCTTCCTGCTCAGCTGTGTGTTGGTGCAGGAGTTGCGCCTCAAGGAGGATTTTGTTGTTTTCTTTTTACTTCGACAGCTGCATTGTTTCCTCAGTTTGTTCGTCAACGCCATTTAATAATCAATTCGCAGCACTAAAAGGCGGCGGTAAAAGGGGAGACAGAAGAGGGTATCATGAGTGACAAGAAATGAGAAAGGAAGAGAAAAATAAACGGAAGGAAAAGCCAACACAGCACAGCAGCAGAAGAAGATACAAGTAAAGAATCAGGAAAAGAAGTGAGTATAATATGATTATTCTTTTGTTATTAACTGCCGCAGAACCCTCCTTTGGTCTGCTGTCCAGAATGTCCAGCAAACAACCCATCGAGTTTGCTTCCCCTGAAATAAGTCGAACACTCGCAACTCCCGAGGATGCATCTCCACCTCCTCCTGCACTTCGCTGCTGCTGCTGCTGCTGCTGCTGCTGTTCGCGCTGTTGCTGCTGTTGCTGCTGACGTTGCTGGTGTTGCCAGTGTTGTTGCTGTAGTTGGTGCTGGTCTCATTATTGCTGTTGTTTGTGTTGCAGCCGTTGCTGTTGCAGTTGTTGCTGCTGCTGCTGCTGCAGTTGCTGCTGCAACTATTGTATTTGCTGACCCAGGTTTGCAAGTGTTTGTCCATCGCTATTTTCTGCTTGATGCCTGCTTGTCGCATCCCCTGTTGAATAAGTCTTTTAATTTGATTTCGTGTGGAGGCCCTGGCGACGAGCGAAGTAAACCAAATAAAATGTCTTGCGAATTGTTTGCTTTCGGTGTACATACACCTCAGAAAAGCCTCTTCTCCCCCTTCACAAATTAATTCATGCGCCCTTCCACCTTTTTCTCTTCTTGGGTTTATACCGACGCTTTCTTCATTTGCATAAAAAGGAGGGTTGCAAACAGAAGCAGCAAATAGGGGGTCAGCATCGAATACAACCCCTTTAAAGATCTGCTGCTGCTGCTGCTGCTGCCTCAGCTGTATATACACCTCGTATTTATTTGCTCGCACATTCTCCTCAGCCACTGATAACGATAATTCAGATATATCTGAACCAACAAACGACCAACTATAATCAGAAACGCCGAGCAAAGGGTATACACAATTGCCTCCTACACCAATATCCATTATCCTCACTTGGGGGCCCCTCGGGGGGCCCCCACTTCTTTCATTAGGGGCCCCCTGATGGGGGGCCCCCTGATGGGGGGCCCCCACGTGCTGCGTGTCTGCTTCGTTTGCTGCTGCTGCTGCAGCTAATGAAGGGGGTATCAATAGGTAGGGGGCCCCCCCAGGGATGGGGGGCCCCCTAGGGGAAGCTAAACCCTCTTCAGGTGATAGAAGATCAGCGAGGAAGTGGATATAGTTGCTGCGGTTAGGTAAAGCGGGAATAAGAAGGTTGTGATGTAGAGGGAGAGAGAAGCTCAAGCTGTATATACACCTGAATAAAGCAATACACAGCGATAGCTGCGCCTCTCTACTGTGAAAATCAAACGTTGCTTCTTTCTTATTTCTACTTTTAATTATAAATGCATGCAAATCAGGGGCCTCTTCCGCCAACTTCTGAAAGTTCAGGGGGCCCCCAAAGAAACGAGAACGAGGATGCATCAATGAGTTGTTATTGCTGCTGCTGCTGCTGTTTATGCTGCTGCTGCTGTTGCTGCTGCCTGCTGACCCCTTAAACCTCTTTCTTCGGCTGCCGTATGTGGCTGATGATGCTGCTGCTGTTTCTGCTTCTTCTGTTTCTGCTTCTTCTGTTTCTGCTGCTGCTGCTCCTGCTGCTGCTGCTTCTGAGAAACGAGTCTTCTCTGCTGCATTGCTGCAGGGGCCCCTGCTGCGCTTCCTGTAGGTTCTGCTGCACTCAGGGGGCCCCCAAGGGGCCTCGGGTTTATCTTCCTCTCTTCCTAACTCACATCCTAAGAAAGTAAATGCAGCGCTGCTAGAAATAGCTTCGGTATCTGCTGCTGTTGCAGCAGATACTGCACCTGTTGCTGCTGCAGAAGCAGACACCGCCTCTGCTGCTGCTGCAGCAGACATCTCCGCTGCTGCTGCCGCAGCAGACATCTCCGTTGCTGCTGCTGCAGCAGATACCGCCTCTGCTGCAGCAGCAGCAGTTACCTCCTCTCCTGCTGCAGCAGACACCGCCGAATCTGCAGCGGGAGCAGATGTAGCAGCAGCAGCTGCTGCTGCTGCCACATCAGCCAGCCCAGCAGGAGCAGCAGCAGCTGCTGCTGCCACATCAGCCGGCAGAGCAGGAGCAGCAGCAGCAGCAGCGCCCTGTGTTACAGGACTCTGTTTTGACGTTATTGCTGCTGCAGAGAACACTCCGTTGCTGATGCTGTTGCTGCTGTTGCTGCTGCTGCTGCTGTAGTTTGTTCTTATATTTGATGTAGTAGCTCCGTCTGTTTCCTGTACAACATGCACAGGGGCCCCAGCCTGGGGCCCCCCTAGGGGGGATTCTTTTTGAGGGTTCTCTGCCTGCATGCGTATTGCAATTGCAAATAAATATAAATTAAAAACGAATAAAGAAGAAAAGAGAACAAAAGTATTTAAAAAAATTGCTGCACCGGGCTGCGCTGTACGCACTGGGGGTAGCGGGCGGCGAGTTGTCTATAGAGTAGAAAGAAAATAAATAAATAAAAAATGAATTGATTAAAGTATTAAAAAGAAAAATACAAATATTGAGATGTTGTTGTTTATTATAATCAACAAATGCTTCACTAGGGGGCCCCCATGCTGCTGCTGCAGCAGCTAGGCTGCTCTAGGGTGCTGCAGTTCTTCTAAGCTGCACCCGGCATAATTAAAAGAAATATATAATTTAAATACCTCTGTTATTCAATTTTATTTTATTAATTTTCCTATTTTTCTCTGCTGCTTCGTCGGTCTCCCAGCCCCGCCGCGCTGCGTGCACACGAAGGCACCCTAAACCCTAAATCCTAAACCCTAAACCCTAAACCCTAAGACCTAAACTCTAAGCCTTAAACCTTAAAGGAAGCAGCACAGCAGACCCATATACGCTAATCCCGACACTATCAACCGTAGTGTTTAGTGTTGAGCGACGAAGGTCAAGGGTTTAGGGTTTACGGTTTAGGTTTTGGCGTTCAAAGCAGCAAGACCGGCAGCAGCAGGAGCAGCAGCAACAGCAGCAGCAGAAGCTGCAGCAGCAACAGGGAAAACGCAGCTAGCTGGAAAGGCAGCAGCAACAAGAGAGGGAGTGAGCACTGCAGCAACAGCAGCAGCAGCAGCAACAGCAGCAATAGCTGCAGCTACGCAGGTACCAGCATTGGCTTTAGCCGAGACACCTGCAGCAGAAGCAGCAGCAGCAGCAGCAACAGCAGCAGCAGCAGCAGCAACAGCAGCAGCAGCAATGAGTGGAGAGATGACGAGGCCTACGCCGCCTCTTCCCCATGCTGAGCCCGTGGGGATCCTTGTGAAGACGCACTCTGGAGAGAAGCAGTTAGTTGCTGCTGCTGCTTCTGCTTGCTGCTGCTGCTGCTGCTTGCTGCTGCTGCTGCTGGATTGCTGCATCTGCTGCGCAACGCTATTCTTTGCTGCTGTTGCATTGTCTTCCTTACCATTGAAAAATAACCTTTGGCTTCCGTTTGCTGCTGCTGCTGCTGCTTCTCCGTTCCTGCTGGTGCTTCTGCTGTTGTTGCTGCTGCTGCTTCCGCTGTTATGGTTGTTGCTGCTGCTGGTGCGTCTAATGCTGCGTCTGTGGCTACTACTACTGCTGCTGCTGCTGCTTGTTTTGCTGCCCCCCACCCCATTTGCTGCTTCCGCTGCAGTATCTGCTGCTTTTGCTGATTTGTCTGTTGCTGCTAGTTTTTGCTGTTGCTGCTGCTGCCTCTGCTGCTGCATGCTCTGCTGCTGCAGGGACTCCTGCTGCTGCTGCATTGCTGCTGCTGCTGCCTTATAGATGGCATTGCATTATCAGCATATGGTATATCTGCTGCTGCCCCTTTACTGTTTCTTTTGCTGCTGCATGTCCTGCTGCTGCTGCTGCTGCACCTGCTGCTGCATTTGCTGCTGCATTTGCTGCTGCACTTGCTGCTGCAGCGTTGGAGGAGTACGCTGGGATGAAGAAGTAATCGCTCAACACGATTTGCTGCGAGGCACCCGCGAGAAAATCACAGAGCCAAAGACGCCATTCAACAGAGAAACAGTGAGTATAAACAGCAGCAGCAGCAGCAGCAACAGCAGCAACAACAACAACAGCAACAGCAGCAGCAGTAGCAAGTGCAGAAGCAACAGCTGTACCAACAGTAGCAGCTGCAGAAACAGCAGCAGCAACTGCAGAAACAGCAGCAGCTACAGCAGAAACCGCAGCAGCAGCAGCACTATCATGAGCAGCAACAGCAGCAAAAGCAGCAGCATCAGTAGCAGCGGTAACAGTAGCAGCAGTAACAGCTGGTCCTTCAGCCCCGCCGGCTTTCAGGCTGCTTCCCTTGCTGCTGCTGCTGCTGCTGCTGCTGCTGCTGCTGCTGCTGCTGCTGCTGCTGCTTCTCTGTTATTTATTTTGCTTTGCTGCTGCAAGAACTTCCTCTTGCTGCTCCTTCTGCCAGTGATTGTTTTGTAAGTTGTGCTGCTGTTGATGTTTTTGTTGCTGCTGTGGTTTTGCTGCTGCGGTGTTTTTGCTGCTGCTGCTGCAGGTCGACGGGGTGGACGAGGAGAGTGATGTGCGCTGCTGCTGCAGACGCTGCTGCTGCCGCTGCTGCCACTGCTGCTGCCGCTGCTGCTGTTGGTAATGTAGCTATTGTCAAGTAATTTGCTGCGCTACTCACTTCTGCAGGAAGAAGACCTGCTGTTGCTGCTGCTGCTAAGTTACTGCTGCTGTTGCTGCAACTGCTGCCCCTATGACTGCTGCTGCTGACATACCTTCGGTTTTGTGGAACTGCTGCTGCTGCTGCTGCTGTGCTGCAGTACGTAGTAGACCCAGAGGAACTAGCCTCTCGTCTGCAGCAGCTGCAGCAGGACACGGAGTTGCTGCAGCAGCAGCAAGAACAGCAGCAGCAGCAGCAACAACAACAACAACAAGACTTCAAGGAGAAGCGAAGGCAGCACTACAATGAATTCCAACAGATGAAACTACTGATGCAAAGTATTGAAGACGAAGATGACGAATAGTTGCTGCTGCTGCTGCTGCTGCTGCTGCAGGTAACAGGTTGTATGGCACCACCAACTGCCGTTACAGCAGCAGCAGCAGCAGCAGCAGCAACAGCAGCAACAGGAATCACCCTCGTTGTCGTAGCAGTGGGGCCTGAAGGGAAGAGGAAGCTGCGCTGCAGTGGAGGCGATATCAGTTAGAGAAACAGCAACAGCAGCAGCAGCAGCAGCAGCAAACCCAGCAGCGTCGGCATTAACAGCACCCGCAGCATTAGCAGCAGTAGCATCAATGTTAATTGCTGCAGTGCTGCAGCAGCTTTAGCCTTTGCAGCAGCTGCAGTGTCAATATTAGCAGCAGCAGTAGCAGCAGCAGCAGGTGCTGCTGCTGCTGCTTCCAGCGGCTGCCCTGCAGATGTTTGGAGAGTCAACCGAAATCTGCACCCCCATGACTTTGCGTATTCGTCTGGCTGTGCCTGGCTAGCTAGCTAGCTAACTGGATAGCTAGCTAGCTAGCTGTATACCTAGCTGTATAGCTAGTTGTATACCTCGCTGTATAGCTAGCTATACAGCTAGCTGTATACCTAGCTGTATAGCTAGCTGCATAGCTAGCTGTCTAGCCAGCTGTCTGGCTAGTTGTCTATCAATAGCTAGCCGGCTGGCCGGATGTTTTGGTGGTTGCGCCGAGGGGGTGCACCTTCAAGTGTGGGAAGCAACCGACGAACTAGCGATCCTAGCTAGCTAGCTAGCTAGCGATCCTAGCTAGCTAGCTAGCTATCTAGCTACTACTTGACTGGATAGATAGCTAGCTAGCTAGCTGGTAATGGAGCTAGCCACTTAAGTGAGCGAGAGGATCGCTAGTAGTTAGCAAGCTCTGATTGTCGCTGCTAGATGGCTAGCTGGAAGTGCCGGGGGAAAAGCTGCAGCAGACTCCAAACCCTAAACCCTAAACCCTAAACCCTAACTGTTGTGATGAGGACAACACTTGTATAGCACCTAGGGTCTGACGAGCGCAATAGCAGCAACGGCATGGAGGTGCTGCTGCAGCAGCAGCAGCTGCTGCTGCTACCGCTACTGCCAGCTGCTACCGTTCGAGCTGTTGAGTTGCAGCAGCAAATGTTAACTCAGCGGAAGCAGCAGCTGCAGCAGCAGCTGCTGCTGTTGCTGCTGCGGGATGGGAGGCCTGCAGCAGAGGGTAGACGATGGCTGCGGCTCCAGGCGCTGAGGGTTTAGGGTTTAGGGTTTAGGGTTTAGGCCGTGAGTTGTTTTTTGGCTTGTGAGTGCGGCCTGGGGATGATGACGTTTTGCCGGTCTGCAGCAGCAGCAGCAACGGCAGCAGCAGCAGCAGCGGCAGCAGCAGCAGCAGCAGCAGCAGGCGGAGTGAGAGGTGCAGCAGGAGAATAAGTGTGGAGGGCTCTGCGTTCTTCAGCAACCATAAACCCTCTCTGCATATTTGAGAGAGTTGACCTTAGATTAGAGATGCGGCGCTCAATGTCTAACTCTATCGAATCCAGTCTGCTGCCGCTGCTGTTGCTGCTGCTGCGGTTGCTGCGGTTGCTGCTGCGGCTCGCCCAGCCAAAGCTGGTGGGTTCGCGGGCTCGGCCGCAGCGGAGAGCAGCAAGAAGGTCTTCTGCTTTGCTGCAGAGGGAGCATCAGTAGCAGCAGCACCAACAGCAGCAGCAGAAGCAACAGTTACAGCAGCAGCAAATCCAGCTGCAACTGGGCGGCAGCAACTGCAACAGCTGAAACAGCAGCAGCACTACAGCAGCAGCCACATCAACAGCAGCAGCAGCAACAACGCCAACAGCAGCACCAACACCAACAACAGAAACACCAACCCCACTCCGAACAGTGGCAGCAGCAGCAGCAGCAGCAGCAGCAGCAGCAACAGCTTACTGCAGCTCTTGTTCTGCTGCGTGTGTATCTCTTAGAATGCATGCATCGAATCCCCTGCGTACGCAGGCGAGGGTCTCCACCGAAAGGCCTTTCTTATCCCGGTGCTGCAGGTGCTGCTGCAGCTGCTGCTGCACCTTCTGCTGATGCCGCTGCTGCTGCTGCTGCTGCTTGCCGCTACAGGGTGAAGAGGTGCGACTGGAATGTCGATAGGAATAGAAGTCGTTGCTGCGCATAGGGATGATGATATCCGTTTGTCTTTGCCGCTGCTGCTGCTTTTGCTGCTGCTGCTGCTGTTGTTGTTGCTGCTGCTGTTGCTGCTGGTGGCCTGGGGGACACGAATTCTGCTGGCCGTGGGGTGTACATACACCTGGAGTTTGCTGCTGCTGCCTCAAGCAGAGCTGCAACTCCTTCTGTGTGTCTTCAAAGCCTTTGTCTTTTTCGCTGTCGTCTTCGTCCTCTTCCTCCTCTGGCCATCCTGCTAGCCGCAGCACTTCAGGTTTTGCTTCTATGCCTGTTCGCTCTGCTGCAGCAGCCGCAGCAGCAGCAGCAGCGGCTGCTGCTGCTACTGCCGCTGCTGCTGCTTGTGCTGCTTCAGCTGCAGCAACGCCTTTAACAGCATCTCCCTGCACAACGGAAGCTGGTGGGCTATAGAAAGAAAGAATTGTCTCTGCAGGCGACCCAAGCGATTCGATAGGCCCCTGCTGCGTCTCGCTGCAGGTTCCACTTGGGGGAGAGGCTGCTAAGGGTTTTTTGCTGCTAGACTCTGGAACAGCAGCAGGAGCAACAGCTGCTGCAGCAGCTGCTGCTGCTTTTGCTGCTGCTGCTGCTGCGGCTCGTGAAAGGCTGCGCTCCTTCTGCTGCTGCAGATGCTGCAGAGAGGTTTCGCATCTGCGATTCGTCGTCGTTACATGCAGCTCGTTGCATCTCCTTGTTCTTTTAGAATGAAAACACCCCATGTTCAGGTGTATTGAAGGTAACTATATTTAAAGAAGAAGGAGTAGAGGGGCTGCTTGCTGCTGAGTTGCTTTACTAGGAATAGTTTCTGGTTGTAGCTTCAATTAAAGCAATCAGGGAGACGAAGAACAAAGAAAGAAATTGCTGCAATCGAATGCAAACAGGGCGATGATGATAATAAGCGGAACTGCGCAAAAAATGACGAATAACGTGACACTATAAGACAAAAATAAAAAAGAAATAAACAAAAAAACAATAGATAAATAATAATAAACAAACTTTAAAGAATAAAGAAATGAATGAAATGGTTCGGATGACCGTCAATGCCGGCCGACCGTCGCGACGCTTCCGGTGTATGTATACCGGAAGCACGGTGCTAATTTTCTGAATATGTTTATGAAATTTACATTATTTTTTAAATATAAAAGGTATTTCAAGATGTATTTATTGTAAAAACACAGGACAACTCTTCTGTGGTTATCGTCGCGGTGTCCACTGCCATCCAGTCGCAGCCGCATCCGGTGTATGCAGACCTCCGGGTTTATTTCGGCATCTTCTCACAGCATTAATTGAAATATTTTAAAATATATTATAATAATAATTAAATAAAACAAAATTAAGGAAATAATAGAGCTTAAGCCGGCAATTTCCGCGCTGTGACGATGCCCTCAGTGAGCGTTCTCTCTGCGCTGCATTGATTTGCATTATAGAGCAAAAATTGAAATTCTGCATTTCTTCACCAACATAATAACTTTAAGTTTGCAGGGATTGCTCTTTAAAGAGCTGAGGTACGGGTGCTTGAATTGATTGTTGGTGTTTTAATTGGTTGTATTCGTCTTCTTATGTTGCGGTGTATGTAAACAACAGCATTGCTTTGCTGTTACGCATTTGACTGTTCTTACCGTACATCACCAGCGAATGAATCTGAATAAGGTCTTTAAAAACTTTAACAACGAAACGCTCGTTCTATAGCCTTGATAGATGATGTAGCAGGGCTTCCACGTTGACTTTTTTATACTATATATTGTATTAATATCTCGAACGATGTCTCTGACGCTTTATCCCTGCTCTCTACTATTCAGCTACTGTGCTCCACATTTGTGCATATGTAGGGTGGCATTTGTTTCTTTTTTAAACTACGAGGCCCTTTACTTTGGTTGATATTCATATTACTGCTGTCCTTATAAATCTCAATAATAGACAATAAACTATACACTGCAACATAGACAAAGTGGAGGCAAGGCCGGGTGTTGGCCTCCTCAGCGCCGCTGCATGCAAAGTTATTCTGCAAAACAAATAAAAATGCTGTAGCTGATGACTGAAATGTTAACACAAACCGAGATATTGAATTCTAAAGCTTGCATATCCTTACGGGGTTCTCTACTTCCCCCAGATGTACACTGAAACAGCATTAGCTAAGCTGAAGTTAAACTCTGCTGCTTGCAGCCTAGTCAGCCCCTTCCAGCTGCAGCAGGAGGCTTTAAAACACAAACTAAAGAAGCGTACAAATGCAGGAAGAAGACAACTAAAAGCACTGCAAATAACCGCGGCGATAAGGTCTCAGTGTACAGACAGCAGACACTTTGATGCTCATTCTCGGGTTAGAACGCTGGCTTGTTCTGTATAATCATCACACCATTAGTATTGGTTTGCTAGAAGAGGTTAGGAAGCCAGCAGCAAACTACAATAATATCATTGGGAGACAAATGCACAAAATATACTTCCTGTGAACTCGCATGCAAACGCGTTTAACGAAGAGGAGACGGTTTGAAAAACGAAAAAATTATACGCTGAGGAAGTATGAGAAAGGAACGCTGATTTAAAGCCTGTAGACTGCTGCTTATATATATATATATATATCTATATATATATATATATATATATATATAGAGAGAGAGAGAGAGAGAGAGAGAAGGAGCTAGAGAGAGGGAGAGAGAAATAGAAAGAAAGAAAGAAACAAACAAACAAAAACATTGTAGCATGGTGTCTCCGACGCTGATGCATGAACACTTGCTTGGCCTCAGACGCCATCCAGCATTACAACAGACATGCCTAGTGTTACTACAGACAGAAAAAACTAAAGGGTTTTGTTTGCGTTTGCATGCAGCAACTCGCTGTAGCATTAATTGCAATTTGCATGAGGCTTCCACGTCTCCCCCTTATGGAGAACCTCAGGCCTCTGTACGCCTAGAGGTTCTTCTAGGAGTGTCTGCAGCTCTCTAAGACCTCTTACCTTAAATATGCATCACTGGCTGTGGTTATGTAAGGGGATTACCGTTAATTCGTTCAAGATATTCAGTAATTCAATAAAAATGCAAAAGAAATGCATTAAAAGGAATCTGGCGGAAGTATGAAGCGAAATAATCAGAAAAAATGTGTTTAAAGTAATACACCAGAAGTATTAGGCAAAATGGAGCGAAAAATATGTTTAAAGCAATATACCAGAAGTATTAAGCGGAATAAACAAAATAAATATGTCTAATTGCAAATTATAAAGTTTGGAAACTTTTTTTTCTGCAGTGAGGTGCGCATACACCGCAATGTAGACGTAGTGAACGCCTCATATTCATGAATATTTGTTTGAAATAAGAAGCAACTCTTCATTTATTTATACATTTTAAACACTTACTTATTATTATTCTTGTTTTTCTTCAATGTATCTATAAACCTTAGGGGCTGCATGCATACAAAGACAATCAACACGCGCACTGAGAGCGCTCTGATTTCCTGAAAACTCGAGCAATTAAATTCAATATATATAGTGAAATAAATTCATAAAAACCTTTCCAAACAAAACTTTGAAATATAAACGCCTAAAACTTAAACCCTAAAAGCCAAGACCTTACTTGCTAGCCTACGCTGCAAACCCTGTTTTTTTGAGGAAGGAATATCTGTTAGCGGCCCCTAAACCCTAAACCCTAAACCCTAAACCCTAAACTGTAGATCTTCAACTGTTGGGTTTGTGGGTACGTGTTCGGGCGCCTTCACGTATGTTTACGAAATGTAAACAGACTAAAGAAAAACAAAGATGAATCATCGAGCGGATGAATAATGCAAAGATGAATATGAGAAGAAGAATATAATTTGTACATATTTGAGGTGTATGTACACCTCAATAGTCAAAATGGACAATGCCAACATTTCGACAAATCCACCAGCACAACAAACCTGCGAACTTCTCGGGGAGTTCGGTGCCTTTGGGTGGGTTATACAATTAATGAATGAAGCAATAAACCCTTTTAAAGAATAAATAAAGATTATATATATAAACCGGTAGATAAAAAACATTTTAAACACTCAATCCATATCTATTTTTATTATATCTTCTGCTGCAGCTGCGGGATCCTGGTGCTAGAAGGGGGACTGTTCTGCGCTTTGAATTTAGGGTTTAGGGTTTAGGGTTTAGGGTTTGGGGTTTGGGGTTTGGCGTTTGCTTCAGGTGGTGGTTGCAGGGTTTGCTGGGGATCCTCTCTTTCGTCTCTCTCTTGGCCAAGCGCTGGCGAGTACATCATCGAAAACCCTAAACCCTAAACCCTCAACAACAGTTTATTAATTACACCACCTGCGAAGATATTTAAAAGACAAACCCTAAACCCTAATTCTTTGTGGCTGTTCAGGAACGCCCAAGGAGGCCCTGGAAAGTGTTTTTGTTTGACTGCTCCAAACAGGCCTCCGGCGCTTTCTTCATTCACATGCGTCAGCTGCTCACAAGGGTTTAGGGTTTAGGGTTTAGGGTTTAGGGTTTAGGGTTCAGGAAGAAGGGCTCAGCTTTTATGGAAGTTCCAACGAACGTGGGGAGAGGCTGACAGCTAGGGTTTAGGGTTTAGGGTTTAGGGTTTAGGGTTTACTGTTTGACTATGCAGTGAATATTGGCGGTGCGGGCCTTATGGCTGCGGTTTTTGAACAAGATGTTTGCGTTTGGTATTGGATTAACATTGTGGTGGACACAACGTTAGGTAAACCCTAAACCCTAAACCCTAAACCCTAATTTTAGGATGGAGGTTTCTTTTCACCTTAAACAGCAGTGCGCGAGTCAGACGACAAGGCTTTATAGATTGGGGAATAGATTCTAGGGTTTGCCTTTTAGGGTTTAGGGTTTAGGGTTTGTGCTTGAGGCCTTTCTTATTTCAGGTGTGTATGTACAGTACATGCTTCTTCAAGGTGCTCGCCGCCTTCTGAAGGGGGCAGCCTGCTTGGTGGGTCTTTCAGCGTAGAGTTTAGGGTTTAGGGTTTAGGGTTTAGGGTCTGGAGCTTGAAGCTGTCGTTAGGGTTTAGGGTTTATGATTCCGTATATATTTTTAGTGTCTGTGATTTGGGGTTTAGGGTTTAGGGTGTAGATTGCGGAGTTTGGGGTATTGGTCAGCACCTCTTGTTGGCCTCTACCTGGCTTGCATGATAGCGTCTGGGGTTTAGGGTTTAGGGTTTAGGGTTTAGGGTTTAGGGTTTTGTGTGTTTGTTATTTTTTCATAGGAGTACGGCTCTTACGGTTCTCCACCGCGGTGGTCTGCATGCTTTGCCCAGGCGATGTCTTGGCAGGTGTTTTGTCTTTTGATGAAGATTGCTGCAAGCGCATTCATGCTGGCTCTTCAGGAACCCCTAGGTAGGGTTTAGGGTTTAGGGTTTAGGGTTTTGTTATAAGGGGTATGATTAAACTGGGACAAACGCCGCAATGTCTGCTCCATGCGTTTCCTGTTTGCGTTTGCTGCAGTTTTCATCGGCAGTGCTCTCCTGTACGAAGCCCTAAACCCTAAACCCTAAACCCTAGGGTTTCATCCTGCCTGCCTTTGAACAGGAGGCAGGATGTCACCCTCTTGTGTGTGCAGCTAAATTGGTTTAGGGCTTAAGGCAGCCAATTCATCTGCTGTCCCCACCGATCAACCACATAGGGTTTAGGGTTAAGTAGGGTTTTAGGGTTTAGGGTTTAGGGTTTAGGGTTTAGGGTTTGTTTGGTGCAGGGCTTCATTGGACACAAATCCGAATGCGAAGCTGGTGGGTGGAGAGCACGCGGTGTTGAAGTGTACATACACCTGGTTGAGGGCTGAGTTATATTTTTCTCTTCTGTTTTCTGTTTAATTTATAGTTATTTTGTTTTCATAATTATGTTTGTCTCGCTGGGATTCTGCTTGGCTGTTGTTTGTTTCAATAGGGTTGATGCATCTTCTGTTTTGTTCGTGCTTATTTGGGGTTTATATTATATTTAATATTACACTTATTTATTTTTATTTAGATATAAATACGATGTGGGTGCATTCAGTCTTTAGGTTTTAATGCCTTCTTGCTTCTCCCTCTGCTGCTTTTGTTATTTATGCTTTTTTGAGGGGTTATGATTAGCCCTGAGCTTTTGAGGGTTTAGGGTTTAGGGTTTAGGGTTTGTGTGTGCAGTTTGTAGTGATGGTGGCGACGCCGCTTGTGATGAATTCTCTGCAGTATTGGCTGACTGACAGCTTTATAAAGAACCGTGCTTCTCCAAGGTATATGATATAGTACACCCTAAACCCTAAACCCTAGCAGTAAACCCTAAACCCTAAACCCTGATCCCTTAGCAGGCATCCTTGTAAGTAATGATAGAAACAAAACTATCGAGGTGCTTCCTTCTGTGCTACAGGAGAGAAATACCTATTTATAATGTTGTGCAATCCGCTGGAGATCTTCCAGTTAGCAGCAGCTGCCGCGGGGAACCGTGAGGTGTATGTACACCTGAACAGTGCCTCTTCTTCTTCCTCTCGAATGAAGAGACATAATTAAATATTCAAAGTAAATAAACAATTTGCTTCATCTCTTAAAAATTGCATCTTTGTTGGAGTACGGAGGTGGATAGACACTCCAATTTCTGCTCACCATGATACAGATCCAGCGCAAAATTAAAGAAAACTGTTCTGTTTTTTTATATTCATCAACATATTTTTTTCTTAACTAGTTGAAGTGCTGTTGCTGATTATCCGGCGTACATACACCCGAAATCATCTACCCATCAGCCATCAGCTGCATCTCCACAATTCAAATGAAGTTATTCACAGCTACTAAATATTCCTACATCAAATGCATGCATGCTCTTAGTGATTATATATAGATGGACAACATGCATGCATGCATATCTGCGGGTGCAGTGTTGTAGAGCAGCAGGTTTTATGTCTTTTTGTTTATATATATTTGTGATTAGGGTTTAGGGTTTAGGTTCGTATTTCATGGGAATGGATGCGTATTGCTTCTGAGGCTGCAAGAAGAAAAGTTGCTGTTTTGATGTGCATGCATGCATTCATGCATGCACGCATATGGCATGCACAGCTGCGGGTGCAGCTTTGTAGCAGGTCTTGCCTTTTTCTTTTAATATATGCATGCATGAAGCGCCTTCTCCCTCTTCTGCTCTACTTCAATTTTTTAATTGGGATACTCTCCTTGAAGAAGCGCAAAAGTTAGAGAAGCCGTTGCCGTCGCATGCATGCATAGATGAAGACGTGTGTGTGCATGCAACTGCGAAGAGGTGCAGATATCAGCTAAGAGCCACAGTTTTCCTTTTGGCGTTGTATGCTTAGCTGCATAAACCCGCTGAAGCTACACAGAACTAAATACAGAGTGATGTGCTTTCGGCGCTGTTCATTCTGGAGGCGAGTTTGGGGGGTAAGAGAAAAAATAAACAAGCGATCCTTCAAACACAGCAAAATACAATCGATGGTATAAACAAAATGCAACAAACTTTAAGCTGACGCCATTACTGTTCTTTGCTGCTATTGTTTAGTGCGCGGTTCTCGCGGGCTGCGAACGAAGGGAGTAGAGCGGCGTGACTGGGCACGTTATAATCGTTTGGTAGACGAAACAGGGAAAAGGTAAAAGGTAAATAATCAAAAAAGTTATAAATAAAACAATAAGTGAGGATCAAAGTTGTTCATTGCCAATTATTGAGTGGTGGTGTTCAACTTGAGCTGCCGATACACCCGAGAGTACTTCCTCTGCCAACCGACTGCAATGTGTGCGTTATCCATCAGGAAATCTCTCATTTTTCGCATAAATTCAAGCAGATATGCATTTAATTCTTTAAGGCTTTGTAAATCAATGTATTATTTTTAAGAAATACCTGGAAAGCCCCACGGATCTGCATCACTTTACAGCGCCTTCAGCTGCCACTTCGACTGCAGGGCTTGCAGCTGTACTTAGCCGCTGTTCTTTGCTGTTTCTTCTCTTTGAATTTGCGGCTCACTTCAATTCATTTTATCATTTTCCGCTTCATTCAGAGTCATTTCCTCCTTTTATTCAACTGCTACACCTTTCTCTACTCCCTCTACCACAATGCAGCCGCAGATCTCAGGTGAGCCCAGCCGACGGGTTGCGACTAGCCGTTGCAGCCAGCTTCTTTTTTCCTGCTTTTCTCCCTTTTTATTGAATTATGAATACTTAACTAGCAGTTTTTGTTATTTCTTCAACACTGCGATGTAACAACCCATCTCATACACAATGCAATTCCCTCTCCCCCCTCACTCCCCCCTGTTGAACTCTGGCGGCGTTCCGTCGCCTCCCTGGAGACCAGTGGACCACAGCGGTCTTTATTCATTTATTGTTTTTTTCATGTTAAGCTCTCAATCTCAATTGTTTATTATGCTTTGCCTCCTGTACGAGAGTTTCTGTTTTCCTCCACTGGCGTTGTCGTCGGTGCTGTCCGTTATCTTCCCTTGCATGTAGAACATTTTTAAGTAATACATATTATTCGTATGCATGCAGATAAATATATATATACCAATTGCACGATTAAAAGTAGTTGTTTTTCTCCTTTTTTGTGCTGTATTTTAATTCAGGTGCGCCTAGCTGCAGCAGCACAGGCCCTGTCTTCTGGTCTTATTCCTATGGAAATGGGACTCTACCCCCTGCAACAGAAAAGGGGCTCATGGCCTCTGATGATTCCCCTAGGATAGTGCACGAACCTGTAGATACAGAACACCTCAATAGGCTTGTTGCTGCTGCTATGTACGCCAGCATTAAGCAGTCGATGCCATACATCATGCAGGTAAATCCACAGAAGAAAAAAAAGAGAAAGAGCAAAAAATAAGAACAGAAAGCAGAACAGAAAACAAAAAATAACAACATGTGGATGCATGCATGCATGCATGCATGCATGCAAAAGCTATCCTTTGATTGGTGTTATATGATTTGCTGCTGCTTGAACTGTCGTTGCCGTTTGTTGTTTAGCTCGATATTCCTTTTTATATTTGTTTATGTGTTACAAAGTGTAGCTTTATATTTCTTCTTCTGTAGTGGTTTGTTTGGGGTGTATGTACAGACACAGTACAACTGGAAGCCTGAGTCTGGACCCTTCTATCTGCAGCAAGGGGAGCAGCAGCAATCGATGTCTTCTTCTTTATCTCCTCCATCCCTCTCTGTTCATACACCTAGAGAAACCTCAAAAGAAATAAAGACACAAAGACAAAGACAGAGACGCGGCTGCTGCTGATTGCGCTGTATAGACAAATGCTTCCACCTATTTTTCTGTACTTCTCTCTGTATATAACATATATCTATCTATAATAATAATAATATATACTTATTCATAACAACACATAACGCAAAATGCAAGTGTCTATACACCCGGTTCTCTCTCTTTTTCCCTTTACACAAAACGCAGCGATTTTTTTGTGGCTGTCTGTATAAAAGGTACTGACATATTCATATTTATATATATATATATACATATATAAAATATATATATATATATATATATGTATATGTATATGTATATATATCCATGTTTATGCATTTATATATATATATATATCATATATATCTGCATATATATTTAGGTGTACGTATATATTCATTTACACCCACAAGCAGCAGGACAACAACTTAGCGCCAAATATATATATATATATATAGACAAAATATGCATTCATATATAATATATATTATATAGTATAAATAAGCATATATGTATATATTTATATTTATATATAGTTTGCTGTTTTTGCTGTCTTGTTTCTTTGTTTGCTCTCCCTAAAGGGAAGCAGATCCAAGGGCCTGTAATTCTATCATCAGGTTTCTCTTAGAGTGTTTATATAAATAACTCTCTTTAATGCAAATAATTGTTGCTTGGGCAACAAAAGCAATTCTCTTGAGGTTCGCACGCACAGCGTGGCTAGCTCTCGATAGCCACGCAGCTAGCCACCGCTAGCCAATAGCTAGCCAACTTCCCTACGTCGCTACCTACCTAGCTAGGTATCTGCCTAGCTAGCTAACTATCTACCTAGCTATCCAGCTAGCTAGCTATCGAGCTAGCTGACTCAATAGCCGTCTATCCAGCCAGCTAGTTAGCCAACCTGCCAGCTAGCTAGCTAACCTGCGAGCTAGCTATCTGGTGAGGAACTCCATAAAGGCCGGACACTGCACAGAGTGCTGAACGGTTCACTTTAAAACATAAATTCTAAAGACCCCCAAAAAACGACAATGCCGCACAAAACGACACCGGAAGCCTTTACTGAGACACCACGCATGCAGCAGCAGCAGCAGCAGCAGCAGCAGCACCTGAAGTTGTGCTGTGCTGGCGATGCCTGCTGCTGCTGCTGCTGCTGATGCAGTTGCTGCTGTCGCTGCTGCTACTGCAGTTGCTGCTGTTGTTGCTGCTGCTACCGGCTTTAATTTTTACATTGCATGCGCTGCCCTGTTTTTATTTTGCCGGTCGTGGGCAACGGCGGCATCGAAAGTAAATAAATATAAATATATACAAATACATAGATATAGACAGATAGATAGATAGACAGACGGATAAACAAATAGATAGATAGATAAGTAGACAGGCAAGAAGAGAGACGCAAAGTAGACAGCGAAACATATATATATATATATATATATATATATATACTTAGATGTGTAAAAGTGCATAGATTAGACATCTTAGCAGATATATACATCTATATGTATGTATATTTATACGCATACATATATATGTATATATATATATATATGAATATCTAAAAATACATGTATATACATTGTTTAGAGAAACGCCTGCAGAAAAAAGTTCACCCGGATAATTGCAAACGCAAATCTGCACAGAAATATATATTTACATATATACATATATAATATATACGTTTAATATATATATATATATATATATATATATAAGTATATATAAATGCAAGCATATAAATATATATATATATATATATATATGCCTGCATGCATGTATATAGTTGTATGTGTACAATATATACATCTGTCTATATTTGGATATATATATTGAGGTTAATATATATGTACACCTGTATATATACAGATATAAAGATAAACATATATATATATATATATATGTATATATATGAAGCATGCAATGCATGCGCACCGTTTATTTATTTATAGTGCATGCGTTTGAGTTCATTCTCTGTTCTTTCTCTCTCCAACATTTCGATGTCTTCTTTCAAATGTTTTATTTTAAAGTTTAATACTGCGTCGGCCATTCCTTTTGTTAATGTGTTCGCCCCAGAACCGAATGCTGCAGC